CCTAGGGATGTCTACAAGCTATGTCTAGTAGAATCTTGTTTATGGGTGTATCGTGCACCACACTTATAAGCAGGAGGCTACAGGGCCTTTAGGACTGTCACTCTTCTTGTTACTCTAGATCGTGTGGTAGAGCTCAGTTGTAAGAACTCAATTTCCTAAACTCTATCTTATTCATAATACGACGATGTCTACATCGAGAAAGATAGGTGGTAAGAGATTGAATGTCACTATGGAAGAGTTGAATCAGAAGAACTTGGTTTTTCATGATGCTTATAATAAGTAAATATAAGGTCTTTAGTAGATCTTGTGTGTACTAAGACGTATAAACCTCTTGATAAGGAGCCTTAAGGCTAGAATATCTATCCACCATTATGGGGAAAGACAATGAGAGATTCATATGATAATTACAAGTTTCAACCAGCAAAAGAAGCAAGATGAAGAAGGGTACGAGGCGCCCAGTTAATGAAGGTTAACAGTATTTACAACTTAGGCAGAGGAATATAAGTCTTTTGAGTTACCTTCAACAGTAACAGAGGTATGTACAATTGGCCACACCGATCTCTGTTATGCCCTATAGGAGCTAATATATATGGTTTAAGAGAAGGACGAGATATCAGAAGCTGGCTGGGGTTAGAGTAACCCAAAATGGTGGATGGATTGTTTGTATTAGTTGACGTTTCCGAAGGATATTGCAAAAGTGCTAATAAATCTCCTTGTGAGACACCCAGATAGTGCACTCTAAAATAGTACATCTAGATATGAGTACTACAAAGATAGGCACTGGAAGCCTGAAAGGGATAAATATTATCTTAGCGTGGCTCCCGTACCTAGTAGAGAGAGAATGTTAGGCATTCCGAAGAGCCAGTGGATGGAGCAAAAGGGGAGCTAAAAGTAAAAGAATATCTTGTTGAAGTTTTCATAATAAAGTGATAGACAGAAATGCTAGTAGGGAAATAAGAAGAGAGTTAATGAAGCATTATGAGTAAAATATGGTACATGGATGACAACGGTAGATAAAAAAAAAGAGACAGCATTACAGAGTCTATAGACAAGGGAAGGAAAATACGAGAGGTGACAGGCCTTGAGGCAACAAAAGAGTATAAGTCATAAAGTCATATCCTCATTTCGAGAAATAAGTTCGTGACTCTGATGTGTTACCGGAAGGAAAAGTTAGACCCTAGAGTAATAGAAATCAGTATGGATTGGTGAATAAGATAAACTAAACATGAATTAGGGACTGAGTGATTTGATGATGGTCGGCATCATGAGAACTTCATATTGTGATGGACCATAGAAGAAGATTCATGAGAAATTCAGAGAATGGTTATTCAGGAAGACGTTTCCCTAAAGCAAGCAATGTGAGCAAAGTTAAGCTTAAGGGACTGTATGTGCTAGTTACACTAAGTGTCACCCTCGCGAGTAAGGAATTTCGTTATCCTTGGTACAGAAGGATTACCACAAGGCGATTAAGGGTCATCGATAATGTGAGAAGACTCCAATGATGAAGAGGTAAAATATCTATAGGTAGATCGTTGTAGCGCTAATTATTAGTACTTCCCTAAAGGGGGGAATGTGGAGTGAGGTGGCATTAAGTCAGAATTAAGTGGTTTTGGTAATTATGGGATGGTAAAGGAAGAATGCGATAAAATGAATAAGGGATGAGATTGCACTTATTCAACACCTACAGATATGCTACGATACCAGAGTATTATGCAAACACGAAGTCAAGCAGAGGAAGTAAGGGTTCCTGCCCGAGATGTTATCGATTAATAAGGAGCCAGTGCGAGAAAAGATTACAAAAGAAATGACCCAAGAAAGATTACACGGAATATTGATACGGGAATGGGACAACAAGTAGTTAGTAGTTGATTCAGGAAAAACCTAATTGTGGCTAGACAAGAGGATACAGACAAATCAACAGATCGTGCAAGATAAACATAGGGAACCCCAATATGGGGAATTCAGCCTCGCAGTTATGACATCGTGATCCTTGAAATATATCCATATAGGAGTTGGGGAAGTTAAAAAGGTATCGTATGAGTGTTACGGAAATAAAAGAGAGTGCCACTGTAAAGACAGTTAAAATATTAGTTCAGAAGTAACCCTACAAGCACAAGGGCGTGGAGATAAGTAACTACGGGTAATTATAGGCGAGGAAGAACATCAAAAATTCTGTCAGGCATACGATGTGATAAGCTCGCAGCCTTACAAGAGTCAGAGGACCCCCCCCCCTAAGTACTACAATGAAAGACTAGTTGAGAAAATAAGGAAGAAGGCTTCAACCAAAGCACAGTGACCTAAAGAGGAAATGGTTGTGTAACAACAGTTTAACTACAAAATTGTATACATTCCAAAAGAAAGTTGCACCTACCATGTCTAATGAGCGGGGAGTAAAACCAAAAGTAATATTCGAGACCATATGAGTTGCACAAAAACTTCGGCATGCGTGAGAACTCGGATAAGCTAAGTATGCACGCAAAAGGGGGCAAAAAGACCAGGAAAAGCAATTGCTTACATTTGAAGAAAGTTGAGAAGGAACAAAAGGAATTATTCGATCAATGATCCAGAGTTAGTTACGTTATGAACGCACTTAAGATTTCGGAGTGAGATCCATGCAACATATATGTTGTCAATCATACAACCGTAGAAGACTCCAGTATAAGTTAAAAGAAAGAATTGAGCCCAAGTCATAGAAAAAGGATTGAGTTGTTAGAAGATGGCATCATGGATATTCCTAGCGTCCATGAAGGGCTAAAATAATAACTAATACCATGAGCCGCAGAATGAAAGATATCTTAAACCTACATAAAGGTTGATCAGAGGGAAGAGGAAACTAAAGAGTTACGTCAACTAAGTAATTCAGGAGTCTGATTATTGGACCTAGAAAATTATAAGACATCGTGATTGGGAACATTACAGGATCACTCTTGATATCAAAGGTACAAGACAGATAGTACAACAACCATATTCTATAATGATCTATGGTAAAGTCAGTTAGAAGAGTACCCGCCACATAAGAAATCAGTATGAAGCTCCCACTGAATTGTGTATACACCAGAGGTGCAAGTATTATAATAGAGCTTCAAGTTATGGACGTGAATTATACCTATATGGGAGGAAGGTCATGAAAGAGATAGAAGATATGACGCAATATTTTAAGGCAAGTAAGGTAAAGGTGAAAAACATACGAGATACTCAGGTGTAGAAGATTGTGAATAATCCATACTTCAAATAGAGGGCTAGAAGCGTTGGGATTCAGTATCCAGGAATGATAACGGCGTCGTCAGTGGCATATCTTCCAGCCTATGGTTTCTAGGTATTGAAAGATCTGGCCAAGAAAGTAAAGAAGAGTTAGAGACGATGTGATGTCTCTCTTGATGTTCCAGAATAACATAAGGAAATCTATGGTGCAAGCAAGTTGAAGGAAGGTTGCGAATAGCATAAATAGATACGTATAGGTCGCAAGCTAAAGTATGGTAATGTGACAAGGTTTTAGGAAAACAGGAATAAGGACAAGAAAGGTCAAGTGAGAAGGTGACGAGAAATGGATAAGTCCTCAGGATTAAGCCCATGAAAACAAGAGAGCTAATGATTCCTCTAAGTTATAGAAAGCTCGGCATAGCCTGAACGAACTCAAAAGAGTCTAAGACTAATAGCATTTAAAAGAGATGGAATGCTGCCCTAGTAGTAGAATGAGGGTGTGATTGTGATAGATAAAAGATGAGATTAGGCCGTCATTCTTAAGTTGAACAATAATGAGGAAGCATTAAAGGGCATAGATTTATACATATGGGATAAGCAGCAAACGTAACCTAGAGTTTGGTAAGCAGACCTCAGTAACGATAAATCGAGGTAAGAGTTATGGTATATTATGACCTACCTAGGTGCAGTAAAGTCATACGAATGGATAACCGAGTCTATAAAGTAAGATATAGCAATATTCGTACGTTCAACAAAGTATCAAGCAAAGAACTTCAGTAAACCTATAGATGTCCAAAGGGACATCTTGTCAAGTTCTGTATATATTCCCAAAGTGAGGCCTAGAGATCAGCTAAAAGCTGAAGGGAAGAGTCGCATAGGCGCACATATAAGGAAAAAGTCATACGAGCAGCATGATAGAAGGTAGCAATAGTTACGAGATTTGAAGGATTCCGACCACGAGCCGTGCTGTGAGAAAGAGGCCTAAAGGGGGGAATGTCTTGGCCTTTGGATTTATTCAAAGAACAGTTGCCTAAATGGCAAGAAGAGTATTAAAGTATTCGCAAGAGCTATGGGTTATGAGAATGATAAGTACATCAGTCAACATTCGAGGATGAATGTTCCAAAGGGGGAATGATGTTACACCCCATGTTTTCATACGTGGAAGTACGCCACAATTAAATTGATATAAGTTCGGAAATGAGATGTTACATCGCGCATTTTCGTACGTTGAAGTTTCGTCGTAAGTTAATACGTAAGTTAGGGAATGAGATTTATTTTGGGATTATAAGTATTACGCTATTTCAAACAAGTGATAAGTTAATTCGTGAAGGTGAGAGGGTAAGCGAATCGAAGAAAATGAATTTCGTCGAAGTTTGTCATTTTGGGATAAAATATGGCCCGAGCTAAAATACCCGGTATTTATGGACAAGTGTCATACAAGGTGCCACATGACCATGATAGTAAGATGTATAAAGTGTGATAAAAGTGAGTAGTATTTTAAGTACTTTGAGATAATTCTTAATTATGTGGATATTTGGTTAATTGTGAATTTTTGATGGAAGACTAACCATGTAATTAAGGGAATTGGTGGATAAAATTTGGATAAGTTTAAGTGTGGAAACGTGGCAGCATGTGCCATGCAACCAAATGACTCATTAGTCATTTATAATATGTGTCACATTAAGGAATTTTTTGGCAAAATTATCCTTAACAAGTGGGGCCCACAACCACTGTGATAAGAGTAGCTTTTCCTTTCCTAGGGGTTAATTTCTCCTTCCACTGTTGTTATTAAATGGCAAAACAAGGATTCTCGTCAACAACCTTCCATTTCAACAGGTTTGTGTAAATTTCTATTTTGATCTTGGTATATCGTACAGTATACCAATCTAAATCTGGTTAAAGCTTCAAGTATTTGGATCAGTTGGTAATTGTACTCAACGAGAATTGCATAAGCTCATGATTGCTTCCTTTAAAGTGTCAAGATAATTTGATATTAATTCCAAGTTGTCTGTCTCTTTTGATTGCAGAATTAATTGGAATAGTGCTTGGAAATACAGTGCATCCTAGCTAGCTTTATCCCAATTTGATTACCAAAGTCCAGTTCACATTCAATCATTCATGTGTGGTGTCTGATCAAATCCTGTAACATTCATGCGTTATTTTCAAAGAATTAGGTTGGATAACACCACATTATAAGAGATGTATGTGCTAAGTAACGGATGAATTCCCAAATGAATTTATACGAAATTTCATAATGCTACAACAGCGTGAGATGCAATTCTAAGGAAGCACGATGCAATCTTCCTCAAGAATATCATACGGATTTTTTCCTACTTCGGCCCGCCGTTACGTGTTGTCGCAATTGAGTAGTGTTAGAGGGATTGTCAAGAGAATCGGCTTAGGTATGTTACAGCAATCCCTTTTTTTCCTTTTGGCATGATCCATACGATACAAGCAAAATGAGAAAATGTACAACTTCCATAAATGACTCTATTCATAGAAGTATTAGAAGTGCCTATGTTCTTGAATTCCCATGTATCTTGTTATTCTATCATCTGTTTATGGGTCTCAGAAAAATACGTAAGTTGATAAAGTTTATTCATGATATTAATCAAAGGCATAATGGTCTTATGACATTTCGAAAGATTTTATTGACATACTTCTCATGCATTGCATCCATTTATAAATGTACATTGACCCATGACCAGATGGCGTTATATACGTATGTGTGTATATATATATATATGTGTGTGTGTGTGTGTGTATGGGATATGGAAAAAGGTTACAGCGTTATATACGCACCACCACCTGATCAGCTGGTATACGTTAATGATGCCACAGTGGCCGAGATGATATGACGGGATGCCCTCCGAGGCTTGATGTTGTTATGAACTCATATACCCACGCACGGTATGACATTTATACACATATGCATGACATTATAATATTAAATGATTCACACAGCTATTCAGATATACATGTTGAGTCTTTTACTCCATGTTTCTCTCATGTCTATTGTTTAATAATTTTTATTCCTTACATACTCGGTACATTATTTGTACTGACGTCCCTATTGCCTGGGGACGCTGCATTTCATGCTCGCAGGTTCCGATAGACAGGTGGAGAGTCCTCCAAGTAAGTTATCAGCTCAGCAAAAGGTGTTGGTGCGCTACATTTGCTCCGGAGTGCCTATTTGGTCAGTATGATTAGTACATGTATTGATTGGTATGATGGGGCCCTGTCCCGACCTTTATGATTGTATGTATTCCTAGAGGCCTGTAGACAGATGTCATGTATACATATACTTGTATGGCCTTTTCGTCCTATGTTTTGAGTATATAAAAGATCGTGCCGGCCTTATAGGCCCGTACGTCATACGTATAAGTTTGGCTTACATGTTGGGTCGTCCAATGTCGAGTATTTTTCCCATGTTTTATTCTATTTATCTAATGATAGCCTCTCTGGATCATGTACCTATGGTAGTATAATACGAAAGATACGTTACGTAGGTACTCAGTTAAGTAAGGTACCGGGTGCATGTCGCGGCCCATCGGTTTGGGTCGTGATACCCTCCCCCGGCCTCTACCTCGGCCTCTAGCAATGGGGGGAGCAGCTCCTCCCGGATCTGGAACTTCTGCTGTGCGCGTCCTCACCATTTGTGAGAGCATAGAAGAAGGAAATTTAGCATACCACCAACTGCACGATAGAAGATGAAAAAAGAGTAGTTTCCGGACACCCTATAGCCTCTCAAAGATAAGTACAGACGTCTCCGCAACGATCCGCAAGACTCCATTAGGTTTGCCCATGACTTGTGAGACCTACATGAACCTAGTGCTCTGATACCATGTTGTCACGACCCAAGTTCCATTATAGGTTGTGATGGCGCCAAACACCGTTGTTAGGCAAGCCAACCCTAATCAACTAGTGAGTTCTCATTTATTTTACCAAACAATCCCATCATTAACTTAATCTTAAATTTAAAACAGTCGATAATTAACAAATTCATAATAATAGAAATACAACCCAAAAGTAATAGTCTACAATTGTGTGTGCCAGGAACTAGTGTCACAAGTACTAGGGCAACTAGTAGAATGTACAAAAAAACAACTATCCTACTGCCTGAAATAGAATAGACAGTTATAACAAAAGGAGAGACTCCGGCATGCTGCTGAACGGCTCAAAAGGGGCAGCTCAGCGTGAGATCTCGATCAAGTATCAGGAACGCGCGCCGGACGGGTAGCTAGATGCACCTGCCTCAGGTCCTATACAGTTAAGTACGGAAGCGTAGTATGAGTATATAAAGAACATGTACCCAACAAGCATCCAGTCTAACCTCGAAGAAGTAGCGACGAGGGGTTGACTTGACACCTACTAGAGTCAATAATAATACAGTTTAAATTTAACACTAAGCATGAATAGCATGAATGTAATGACAGTCCAAAGACGAGGAGAAATAAGATATTCTTTCTTGACAACCTATCACTTCCAGTCATATCATGTAATAAGTTACATTTCAAGCATTTAAGCAGTGTAATTCACGGAAAGTTCCACATAAATAACATGCGCACATTGTGCCGAGGTCGTACGGCCCGGTCTGATATAATAATAAACTGTGCAGTGCCACATGGTCGAATGGTGCGGACCATAGATGCATCTATTTACTACCGAGGCGATCGGTCCGATACACAAATAGCAATTTATTATCAAGTAAGCACACATTGCCCATTATAGTCAAATAATTCATACAAGTGCTCAAGTAAGTGAGTATACCCGTCTATATTTATTTACCAATTTCTAGCACGACCTAAGTGATCGTACTAGCAAGCAAAGGACGCAAGCATTTGCAAGTATAGCATGATACGGGTCCTAAACGACCCGGACAATTAGCATAATAGTAGCTACGTACGGACCCTCGTCACCACGTACGTACGTAGCCCCCACAGATAGTCACATACACTTATTTAATTCACCTATGGGGTTTATTCCCTCTTACAAGGTTAGAAAGGAGACTTACCTCGTCCCAAAGCTTACTTCACATTTCAAGAATGCGCTCAAACCCTCAAATCAGAGCCGAACGATCCAAAACTATACAAATGGGGTAAGAAACTAGTCAATATATGCTCAAGAGTTCATATTCTAACTATTAAACTAATTTCCCAACCCTAAATGCAAGGTTTCCTAAAATTCACCCCCGGGACCACGTGTTCGGATTCTAAAATTTTTTGAAAAAAGTTGTTACCCATAACCTAAGGATCAAGAATATATGATTTCTACTACATTCCATAACAAATTTTGTGGCTAAATCTCATTTTTGTCAAAACCCTAGGTTTTACACTAAACCCATAATTTCCACTAATTTACATGTTATAATCTACCTATAAACTATGTACTAAACTCACATTAAGTATAAATAAGTTACCTCCCAAAGATAGGTTGAAATCTTCCTTTTTGAAGCTCCCAAATCGCCCAAGAATGGAGTAAAATATGTCAAAAATGACAAACTCCCGTTATTTAATGAAGGCCACTGCCTTCAGCAGTTTTCGCATCTGCGGTCCTGGGCCGCACCTGCGCCAACCGCATCTCGGGAAAATGGGCCGCTTCTGCTGTCCTGGGTTGGGCCTGCTAGGCTGCTCCTGCGGTTTCGCTTCTGCGGTTAGGGGGCCGCTTCTTCGATTTCTGGGCTGGCCACCCATGGCCGCATCTGCGATGGCTTAGCCACTTCTGCGGTCTCGCACCTGCGGCTGGCCAACCGCAGGTGCGTATATGACAGAAGCCTGGAGCTTCAGCTCCTTCTTGCAGTTTCAACTAAGCTCGAGCCTCGTCCGATTGACGCTCGGGGCCCCCGGGGCCCCGCCCGAACATACTGACAAGTTTGGAATGATAAAACGGACTTGCTCGAAACCTTGGAGCACCAGAAACGACATTAAAACTAGGAATCACACCCTAAAACCAATTTATTCAAACTTATGAACTTCAAGTTCTTCAATGTACTTCCAATGTGACGAAACACACTTATACTACTCGGATCGACACCAAATTTTGCGTGCAAGTCTTAAATGACATTATGGAACTATTCTCGGTCTCGAAATTCCGTTCGGACCCCGAAATCACAAAAACCCGCTCCAAACCAAATTTAAAGAACTTCAAAATCCTTAAGGAATCAACTTTCACTATTATGCGCCAAAATGATCCCGGGTCATCCAAAACCCGATCCGGACATTCGCCCAAGTCCAAAATCATCATACGAACCTGTTGGAACCTTCAAATCCTGATTCCGAGGTCATGTACTCAAAATGTTGACCGAAGTCAAACTTGGCCTTTTAAGCCAACCTTAAGGAGCCAAGTGTTGCGATTTCAACCCAAACTCTTCCAAATCCGAACCAACCATCCCCGCAAGTCATAAATTAGTAAAAGTAAGTACGAAAGTCTTATTTAGGGGAATGGGGTTCTAGAAAGAATAACAACCAGTCGTGTCGTTACATTATTTGTTTCTTTTTATTGAGTTTACAGTTTCATTTACATAGGCCATGTTTATTTAGAATTTCTATTATTTTATTGTTAGACCATAGTAAGTGTCGGAGTCGACCCCTTGTTACTACTTCTTCAAGGTTAGACTGGATACTTACTAGGTTGATTTTGTTTATGTACTCACGCTACACTTCTACACTAAATGTGCAGGATCTGAGGTACGTGCATCTGGATATCAGTCCGGCGCGCATCCTTGATTTCACGAGACTTTGCGGTGAGCTGTCTTCTGAGCCTGTTCTGCAGCAGCCGAAGTCTTTCTTTTGCTTTTATTTTCTATCAATCTCACTTCAGACAGTAGTGTAGTATTCTTTTATATATTCCACTAGTAGCTCATACACTTGTGATACCAGGTCTTGGTAATTATGCTAGTAGACACATGATGATTTTTGGGTTATTTTACTTATCTCATTTGCTCTTAAATTTAGTTATCTCTCATCTTATTAACTTCCTATTTGTAATGATCCAACCGGTCGTTTTGCTTTCTAGATCCCCGTTCCCCTAAATAAGTCTTCTCGTACTTGCTTTACTGATTTATGACTAGCGGGGATAGTTAGTTTGGGATTTGGAAGAGTACGGGTTGAAATTGGAACACCTGGGTCCTTATGGTTGGCTTAAAAGGCCAAGTTTGAATTCGGTCAGCATTTTGAGTAAACGATCTCAGAATCGGTATTTGAAAGTTTCAATAGGTTCGTATGTTGATTTTTGACTTGGGCGTATGCTCGGATCGGGTTTTGGATGACCCGGGAGCATTTTGGCGCCTAATAGTGAAAGTTGGTTCTTGAAGATTTTAGAAGTTCTTTAAATTGGTTTGGAGCGGGTTTTTGTGATATCGAGGTCCAAATGGAAATTCGAGACCGGGAATAGTTCTGTAATGTCATTTAAGACTTGCACGCAAAATTTGGCATCGTTCCGAGTAGTTTAAGTACGTTTTGCCGCATTGGACATAAATTGAAGAAATTGAAGTTCTTCAGTTTGATTCAATTGGTTTTGCAGTGCGATTCTTAGATTTAATGTTGGTTCTGGCGTTCCAAGAGCTCGAGCTAATCCATTTTATGATTTCAAACTTGTTGGTATGTTCGTACGGCCCCTGGGGATCCGAGTGTCAATCGGACAAGGCTCGGACCAAGTTGGAAACTTGGACCAAGAGCTCAAGTTCCCATATTTGTCATAATCGCACTTGCTCTTGCCAGCCGCAGGTGCGAGCCAAGCCTCGCAGAAGCAGGCTAGGAAGGGCAGCCCAGGTTTCGCAGATGTGGCCCATCCTCCGCAGAAGCAGGACCACAGAAGCGGGTACCCATCTGTAGGTGCCACGCCAGACGGCCCAAGCCATTTCCGCATAACCGGACTCTTGTCGGCAGAAGCGAGGGCGCAGATGCGGCCCTTTGACCGTAGGTGCGGAACAGCTGGAGGAAGTGAGGTTCATTTAATACGGGACATAAACAAATTTTTACAAATTTCACTCACTCCTTGGGCGATTTTTGGAGCTTCTTGAGAGGGGTTTTCACCTAGCTTTTGGAGGTAAGTAATTTCTACCAAATGTGAGTTAAATACATAGATTATGGGTAGATTAACATGTAAAAATTAGTGAAAATCAAGGGTTTAGAGGAAAACCTAGGTTTTTGATATAAATGAGATTTGACCACAAAATAGATTATGAAACTTAGTGAAAATCATGTATTATGTTCCTAAGGTTATGGGTAACAACTTTCTTCGAAAATTTCTGGAATCCGAGCACGTGGGCCCCGGGGTGAATTTTAGGAACCTTGCATTTTGGGTTGGGTAATCACTTTAATAGTAACGATATGAACTTTTGATCATAGATTGATTAGTTTATGTAATGTTTGACTAGTTTCAAGTCGTTTGGTATCAATTTGGAGGTTTGAGCGCATTCTTAAAGTGGGAAGTAGGATTTGAGACGAGGTAAGTCTTTTTTCTAACCTTGTAAGAGGAAATTTAACCCATAGGTGAATATGTGTGGTTAATTGTGGGGGCTACGTACGAACGAAGTGACGAGAGTCCGTATATAGCTACTATTCTTGTTTATGTCCTGGTAGTTTTAGGTTTACACCATGCTTTTGGATAGCGTTATTTGATTATATTTGTTGATTTTATCAAATGGAACTAAGTTGAGGATTTTAAGAGCTTCAAGTTGAATTGTCTTTACTTTGAAAGAGAAATCAAGAAAGGGTTATGTTTCTTTTGATAAATTTGTATTTGACCGCTTTGTAAGTATATTCCACGAGTGGGTAATTCTTTTTTCTACTCTCATGGGAGAGGGCCATTCGCCTCGGCAAGTTTAATAGATGCATCTATAGTTCGTGCCTTTCGACCCTTGGCAGTGCACAATTTATATTTATGTTAGATCGGGCCGAACATCCTCGGTGGAATTCGTGTGTTAATAGAACTGGAAATCCCTTTTATATTTGGTATAAATTCATTGTTTGTGTGGTTATATGCTTTAAATGAAGGAAAGACTTGGGTTCCTAAATGTGGTGAAGAATTGTTCAGTTATTTCTTGTTCTAAGCTTTATTATTATATACCATGCTTAATTAGGATTTCATATTATCATATTGTTGGCCCTAGTAAGTGTCGGAGTCGACCCCTCGTCACTACTTCTTCGAGGTTAGACTAGATACTTACTGGGTACATATTTTTATGTACTCACGCTACACTTATGTACTTAATTGTACAGGATTTGAGGGAGTTGCATCTGGTCACCAGTCCGGCACGCAACTCTGATACCCATTTGGAGACTTCACGGTGAGCTGCCTCCTGAGCCGTTCTGCAGCAGCTGGAGTCTTCTTTATGTTTTATTTTTCTGTCTATTTCTTTTCAGACAGTTGACTAATATTCTTTTGTATATTCTACTAGATTGGCCTCATACTTGTGACACTAGGTCTTGGCACACACGCTAGTAGACTTATGATTTTGGTATTGTTTACATGACTACGGCTTGTACTTGTTGCTTCCATTTAATTTTGTCATTGGTAATTTCTAAATCTTTTTAACAAATGTAAAATTGTATCCACTTAGTAATTTATTTAATACGGGAAATCTCCAGTTTGATCATTGTTGGCTTGCCTAACAACGGTATTGGGCGCCATCACGGCCTATAATGGAATTGGGCCGTGAAAACATGGTATCAGAGCACTAAGTTCACGTTGGTCTCACAAGTTACGGGCATGCCGAGTAGAGTCTTGTGGATCGGTGCGGAGACGTCCGTACTTATCATCGAGAGGCTATAGGGTGTTAGGAAACTACTCTTTATTCATCTCATATCGTGCAGTTGATGGTATGGTAAATTCCTTTCTCTCATTCTCTCACAGATGGTAAGGACACATACAGCAGACTTTCCAGACCCGGGAGGAGCTGCTCCCCCCGTTGCTAGAGGCTGAGGCAGAGGCCGGGGGAGGGCACCGGCTCGAGGTAGGGGACGAGGGTGTTGTAGAGCTGCCCCAGTAGCACCACCAGCAGATCCAATAGAGGATCCTATCATTGAGGAGCAGGGCGAGGTGCCTGCGGTAGAGCCAGCCCCGGTAGATTTCATGTCAGCACCGGGTTTTCAAGAGATCATGGGTCGTATGCTGCGGTTCATGGACACTATGACTCGGGCTGGTTTATTTCCAGCAGACCCAGCGACATCTTAGGCAGGAGGGGGAGCACAGACCCCTACTACTCAAGCTCCTGGGCACGCGGCTGCCGTATATCAGACCTCGGGTGCACTACCCGTGAGTGGGGCCTAGCTAGTTGCCACAGCTGCACCTGAGCCTAGACCAGCTACGGACGGTGATCCGAAGAAATTATTGGACAGATGGACTAGGCTACACCCTCCTATCTTTGGGGGTGAGCGACATAAGGGCCCCGAGGACTTTATTGATCGGTGCAGGGACAGACTGCACAACATAAGGATATTGGAGTCCCACATGGTGGATTTCACTACTTTTCAACTGGAGGGCAGGGCCTGTAGATGGTGGCACTCTTATCTTCTTGGCAGACCAACGGGTTCTCCTCCCATGACTTGGACCAGTTTACACAGCTTCTCTTGGACAGGTATCTTCCACCCTCTCAGAAGGAAGAGTTGCGAGGTCAGTTCAAGCAGCTCGAGCAGGGTCAGATGTCAATGACCGATTATAAAGCGAGGTTCTCTGAGTTGTCTCGCCATGCACTCATGATACTTCCTACAGACACAGAGAGAGTGCCGAGATTTGTTGCGGGGTTACACCCCGGTATTCTGGCTAGTATGGCCCGAGAGGTTGAGATGGGTACTGATTATCAGTTAGTAGTGGAGATTTCTCGGAGGATTCAGGGCTACCGCCAGAGGGGTAGAGAGTAGATGCAAGAGGACAATAGGACCTATTTCGTTGGAGAGTTTAAAGGGGCCCCGGCTAGGGGAAGAGGTCAGTTTGGGAGGGGTCAGCCTAGCAGGCCCACATATCCATCACCACCACCTCCTCGGGGTACTCCAGTGCGACCCTATTTTAGTGCCATGCCATAGAGTTCTTACCGCCCACCAGCTCATCAGGGTTCTTCCAGTGCCTATTTTAGTGCCATGCCAGAGAGCTCATACCGCCCACCAGCCATCCAAGGTTCTTCTAGTGGGTATTCAGGCCATCATGGTCAGACTTTAGGACAGCAGTCTATGGTACCGAGAGGTTGTTACGAGGGTGGATATCCCGGTCACATGAAGAGATTTTGTCCCAGACTTTGGGGCAAGGCAGTACAGCAGGGTCATCAGCCCATGATTTTAGCACCAGCCGTCCGACCGCCCATAGGTGCGGGACAGGCAGGTAAGGGCCGTCCTAGAGGTGGAGGTCAGGTGGGGGGAGGTCAGCCAACTATTGTTCAGCTAGGTGGAGGCCAGCCAGCCGGCGCTCCAGCGAGATTCTATGCTTTTCCGGACAGATCAGATGTAGTGGCCTCATATGCCGTGATCACAGGTTCCATTTCTATCTGCGGTAGGGATGCTTCTGTATTATTTGATCCAGGGTCTACCTATTTATATGTATCATCTCTGTTTGCTAACTTCCTAGATATTCCTCGTGAGTCCTTGGGTACTCCTGTTTATGTGTCCACTCCTGTGGGCGATTTTGTGGTTGTGGATAGGATCTATCGGTTCCTGCGTGGTCACATTCTGTGGTTACAAGACTAGAGCGGACCTTCTGTTACTTGATATGACCCATTTTGAGGACATCCTGGGCATGTACTGGTTATCCCTATATCATACCATCCTTGATTGTCATGCCAAGACTGTTTCTTTAGCGATGCCAGAGTTGCCGAGATTAGAGTGGAAGGGTTCCTCTGTTAATACAGCTAGTCGGGTTATCTCCTTTCTGAAGGCTCGATATATGGTTGAGAAGGGTTGTTTGGCTTATCTAGCCTATGTTCGGGATACCACTGCAGAGTTTTCGACGATTGATTCTGTGCCAGTAGTCCGAGAGTTTGCCGATGTAGTTCCTTTTGACCTTCAAGGCATGCTACTAGATCGCGATATTGATTTCCGCATTGATTTGGCTCCAGGTACCCAGCCTATATCTATCCCACCGTACCGTATGGCTCCGAAATAGTTGAAGGAGTTGAAGGAACAGCTGGAGGAGTTGTTAGCAAAGGGTTTAGTCAGACCAAGTGTGTCACCTTGGGGTGCAGCAGTTTTATTTGTGAAGAAGAAAGATGGAACTATACGGATGTGCATTGATTACCGCCAGTTGAACAAAGTTACCATCAAGAACAAGTACCCGTTGCCGCATATTGATGATTTGTTTGACCAGTTGCAGGGTGCTAGGGTGTTCTCTAAGATTGACTTGAGATCGGGGTATCATCAGTTGAAGATTCCGGACTCGGATGTTCCAAAGACTGCTTTCCGTACTAGATATGGCCATTATGAGTTTTTGGTGATGTCCTTCGGCTTGACTAATGCCCCGTCGGCGTTTGTGAACTTGATGAATAGGGTGTTCAGGCCTTATATTGATTCACTTGTCATTATCTTCATTGATGACATTTTGATCTACTCACGTAGCCTGTGGGAGCACGAGCAGCATTTGAGAGTAGTGCTTCAGACATTGCAAGAACAGAAGTTGTATGCTAAGTTCTCCAAGTGTGAGTTCTAGCTAGAGTCTGTAGCATTCTTGGGGCATGTTGTATCAGGCGAGGGTATTAAGGTGGATCCAAAGAAGATTAAGGCAGTTCAGAGTTGGCCTCCTCCCACTTCGGTGACTGAGATCAGAAGTTTCCTAGGGTTAGCAGGTTATTATCGCCGGTTTATGCAGGGCTTTTTATCCATTGCAGCACCTTTGACTAGATTGACCCAGAAGGGTGCTCCATCCCGTTTGTCCGATGATTGTGAGGCAAGCTTTCAGAAGCTCAAGACAGCTTTGACTACTGCACCAATTCTAGTGTTGCCTTCCGGTTCGGGGATGTATACGGTGTATTGCGATACTTCACGCATTGGCTTGGGTTGTGTATTGATGCAGGAGAGTCAAGTTATTGCATATGATTCGCGTCAACTGAAGATTCATGAGAAGAATTACCTTGTGCACGACCTAGAGTTAGCCGCGATTGTTCATGCTCTTAAGATATGGAGGCATTATCTGTATGGGGTGTCATGTGAGGTTTATACTGATCATCGCAGCTTATAGCATTTGTTCAAGCAAAGGGATCTCAATTTGAGGCAGCGTAGATGACTTGAGTTACTGAAGGATTATGACATCACCATTCTTTATCATCCGGGCAAGGCAATTATGGTCGCGGATGCCTTAAGCAAGAAGGCAGAGAGTATGGGTAGCTTGGCGTTCATTTCAGCAGAGGAGAGGCCGTTAGCTTTGGACATTCAGTCCTTGGCTAACAGACTTGTGAGGTTGGACATTTCAGAGCCCAGCCGAGTTCTTGCATGAGTTGTTGCCCAGTCTTCACTGATAGAGCAGATCAAGGCTCGACAGTTTGATGATCCGCACTTGGCAGTCCTTGGAGAGATGGTACTACAGGATGGTTCCAAGGAGGTTTCTACTGGCGAGGATGGTGTTCTACGACTCCTGGGTTGTCTATGTATTCCTAATGTCGATGGCTCAAGAGGAAAGATTCTAGAGGAGGCACACAGTTCTCGGTATTCCATTTACCTAGGTGATACGAAGATGTATCGTGACCTAAGGCAGCATTATTAGTGGCGGCGGATGAAGAAAGACATAGTTTAGTATGTAGCTAGGTGCCTAAATTAACAGCAGGTTAAGTATGAGCACCAGAGGTCGGGTGGCCTACTCCAGCAGATGACTATACCAGAGTAGAAATGGGAGCGCATTACTATGGACTTCGTAGTCGGGTTGCCGCGGACCTTGCGGATGTTTGATGCAGTTTGGGTCATTGTCGATAGGTTAACCAAGTCAGCACAATTCATTCCAGTTGCAACTACTTATACTTCGGAGAGGTTGGCCCAGATTTATATTTGGGAGATAGTTCGGTTGCACGGTATGCCTGTTTCCATCATATCAGATAGAGGCCCTTACTTCACTTCGCATTTCTGGAGAGCCGTACAGAGTGAGTTGGGGACCCGTGTGGAGCTCAGCACAACATTTCATCCATAGTCCAACGGGAAGTCAGAGCAGACAGTTCAGATCTTAGAGGACATGCTCAGAGCATGTGTGATTGACTTTGGAGGATAGTAGGATCAGTTCTTGCCTTTGGCTGAGTTTGCTTACAACAAGAGTTATCAATCCAGCATTAAGATCGCTCCATTTTAGCCTTTGTATGGTCGGCGATGTCGTTCTCCCATCGGGTGGTTTGAGCCCGGAGAGATGAAGTTATATGGTTACTCATTTGGTGAAGGATGCCTTGGAAAATGTGAAGTTAATTCAAGAGTGACTTCGCACAGCACAGTCCAGACAGAAGAGTTACGCGGATCAGAAGGCGTATGATGTATCATTTATGGTAGGCGAGAAGGTTCTCTTGAAGGTCTCGCCGATGAAGGGTATTATGAGATTCGGGAAGAAGGGCAAGCTAAGCCCCAGGTTCATAGGCCCATTTGAGGTGTTGAGGCG